ACACACACACACACACACACACACACACACACACACACCTGTGCTGGTTAAGGTTGATGGGAGCTGCAGTCCACCAACAGCTGGGAAGCTACGATACATGCTCCTCCTAATGGTGATAGTGTGTGCCTTCAAGTCCTTTCCGATTTATTGCGACCCTACTACCATGGGGCTTTCTTGGTAGAGTTTCTTCAGAGAGGGTTTGCCATTGCCATGCTCTGAGGATGAGAGAGTGTGACTTGCCCAAGGTCACTTTCCAGGGCTGAGCTGGGAATCGAACCCTGGTCTCCAGAGTCGGAGTCCAACCCTCAAACCACTGTGACACCCTGGCTGTCATATTTACTCCTCACCCTCATTCCTTTAGTTTTCTTTCTTTCCTCTCTTTATGCTCTGTGGGACCCAAAGTGGCTTAGGACATGCCTGAGTCTGCAAGAGGATTGTGAAAAACCCTGACAAGACAGGCCTCCTACTAAAAGGACAGCCATTTGACCACCTGAAAGGCATTCTCTTTCTGCTTTTTACATGCTGCCTGTACAAAGCTGGAGAGTCTGGGACTTGGAGGTTAGTTGGCAGACAGTCAGAGGCCCAGGAATCCTTCTGTGTGGTATAGTAGTGCGACTACGACTTTAGGAGACCAGGGTTCAACTGTTAGCTTAACAAGGAAACCCACTGGATGACCTTGGGCAAGTCACATACTCTCAGCGTCAGAGGAAGACAAAGGCAACCCACATCCCCTGAACAAACATTGCCTTTGATGGGTCTCTGGCCCTTACTAAAGAACTGACTGACTGGACAAACCTCACCAAGCAAATTGCCATAAGGGTCGCCATCGTTAGAAGTGACTGGAAGGCACACAACAACAACATAAACAACAACAACAAAAACATCCTTCTTTTAGAAATCGATCCCCTCCAATCCCACAAAGCAGATGCAGACAGTGAACCAAAAGACATCACAAACCTCAAAACAACAGTGTCTTTTGCTGGGTAGCTCTTTGCCCTGAGTCTCCCAAACACTACAGAGTAGGGCTGGTTATTATTTGCTCCTTTCAAGATGCTTATTTCACGACTTAAGAAGGGTGATGATGCTCTTGCATCAGCATCTTAGTGGCTTTTTAAGGGTCTGTGCTCAATTCCCCCTCTTTCTTTGTCTTGCTTCTCCCTTTATATAAAAATCCCCTTTGTGCAAAAAGGAGGTTGTTGTTGTGTGCCTTCAAGTTACACAAATATACATGGAAAAAGTTATCTCTAGGATACTAAATGTATTGCTGATGTTGTGGGTTTTCAAGACCTTTTCGACTTATGGCAACCCTAAGGTAGTGAACCTATCCTAGGCTTTTCTTGGCAAGATTTGGAGAAGGTTTGTCATTACCTACCCCTGAGGCTGAGAGAATGTGACTTGCCCAAGGTCATCCAGTGGGTTTATATGGCCCAGAAAAAGGAGGGCAAATAAATAAATAAGTGTGTGTGTTTGTGTATGTATTAGGACTCTGTCATATCTGGAAGCAATAGGACTGAGATCTTTCCCCCTTTTGCCACTGGACAATACAGAATGGAGAGTTATATGGGGGACTTTGAAAAGCAGCTTCTAAACTTACCCACCCAGCAAGATAGTTTTCCTCCCAGATGGCAAGAAAATGAGAGGCACAAAGGAGGAGGCTGCTGAGAACTGCAAGCAAAGGTGTTTTTTTTAAAAAAAAAATGCTTGCCTTTCTTTCACAAAAGAAGAGGTGCACAGAACCCAGAGGTTTTTTTCTCTCTGCGATATGTCTCTCCCTTTTTTTTGTTTGGGCTCCTAGAACTGCACCCACGCCATCTCTTTGTTTTCTGGGCTCTTGTCATCCTTTCCAGAAGACATTCCCTGTGTGGGTTGGAGAGAGCATCTCTGAGAGAAGAAGCCAGCCCTTGCCTGGAATTTGCAAATAGACCCGCTCAGGGGCTGTCACTTGGTTTATTCCTCTTAAAAGGTGTGACTTTCCCAGGATTCTTGCCTCTTTGAATCTCCTGGTTGTAAATGATGTTTCTGAGATGGGTTTCACACTTCAGTCTGTTCATCTTAGCTGGTTTGTTTGGTTTTCTTTCCTTCCTATTAACCTTGTTTGATTTGTGTTTGAAGGAGGGAAGGTATTTAGGGTAGAGGAAATGACACCTGCTTGCCCTTTTCTGGATAGATTGCCAAGATTATTAAGGAAATAACACCTAGTACACACACAGAGAGAGAGATTAGCCCAGCAAGAGACCATGCTGGTCACTCCAGAAGGACAATGTTTACAATCAGGTGAACACCTTCATCCTTTGCTAAGGATGGCATTCAGGGGTGGCACACATGCATGGATAAGACAAGAGTTTTTAAATGCTTGATATTCCTTAAATCTTTCCTCTTTTCCAATGGAAACAGTTCACATCTCCAACAGCAAATAGTCCTGTGTGGTGTCACAAAATCTAGCCCAAGGTGAGCCCTTCAGGAAGTCACTGAAACCAGATTGAGTTCCAGTCTTAGGAGAAAACAGGGTACAAATAAAATGATTCAGTGCATATCCACACTATATAATTATAGCAGTTTGATACAATGTTAATTGCCATAGCGGTTAAATAAATAAATAAATAGCCCCATCCTATGGAATCCAAGGTTTAGTAGTAGTTGTGTGGTTTTTTGAGCTATTTGAAATTAGTTACTACCTTCCCCCAAGTTGTTGTTGTTGTTATCATTATTATTTTCCTCCCAGTTGCAAATTGCAAATCTCAGGATAGAGATTTAAGTTGTGTCTCAAATTATGACATATCTATCTGATGATGAAATATTAACACACATGTATACCGAACCAGCTATTAT